GGCCACCGAGCGGCGCGATGCATTCCAATGCAAATAACTCTCGCCCCGGGGACGAGGCGTAATCGTCGCAATTTCATGCTTCTCAGAAATGCAACCTGTCCACCATCCCCTTCATTCCCTCTCTCCTTTCTCGCGCAAACGATGTCAGAAGAGGACTCCCCTCAACGATCGGTTCTTTCGTTACGTGTCGCCATGTCGATGGATGCGGTGGTTGTTCACGACGATGATATATTTCATTTGTCCCGAGCTTAACAACGAGACGACAACCGGTAACGTAGGACATTTATTTATTACCGTTTACGGGGGTCCAAAATCTACCCTACGGATCGATGAATGGCCGCGCCGCGGGCCTGTTTGAATTTGGCGCCCTTTTTCCTTCCGACCACGAGCGATGATGGATCGTCGCGGGAGCGGTTGGTTTTAACACTTGGCGAGAAGGCTATGTTTAAGGCTAATTTGAAGCCGGGTTTTCAGGGGGTGATGGAGTGGGGGAAGGGTTGCTTGAATGAACACGTGATACGGCTGGTTGATAGTGACGTTGTGTACATTGTAGAGTGAATACTTCTTCTTTACTGAGAATGATAGATTTCTTTTCTTTTTTTTTTTTGTGATTTATTCCGTTTGAATGATAATGTATCCGTATGAATGATAAAATATCGGTTTGCACTCGAAATTGGTATAATTCGTATTGAAAATTATTTTCTAATAATGGCAAAGTTCTTCGTAAGATTTCTACAATTAGGGAAAGAATTGCAAAATTTAAAAAGAAATATATTTAGACTTGGATATAAGAAAAATGATTTCGGAAAATATAAATTCTATGTAAAAAATACTTCTATATTTTTTTAGTGGTATCAAGTAATAAAATAATTTATTTGAAAAATAAATTAATATTCAATATTATTTAAATTAATCATGGCACAAATAAAATTTGTGATGTTTGTGATGAACATTGGGATTCATTCAAGAAATTATTACAAAAATTTACAATCTGATTTTGCAATTGTTATAAATACATCATATAATCATACATTTTTATAATCACAATTTGACAAAATATAACATATAGAATATCGATGTAATTTTAATTAATGTTACATGGACAAAGACAATTTTAAAATTTTTTACTAAAAATCATGATGAGTAATGAAACATCTTTTGCACATATTCCATATAATTTTCGATTAGTTTTGATTATCATTTGTTCTGATCTTTACAGAATCTTTATGGGAAAATTAAATTAAAGAAATTCACTTAATTTCTAAAGATTAAGTGGAAAATATACACAAGAATAGATAAAATAAATTTCTGTACAACAAATAATCAACAAATATTGTTTAAAGATTAGTTAATCATATTCAATTAAAAGAACATAAATTATCAAAATACAATAAAATAATTAAAATTTCAATAATTTTCATTTTAAGTTTAAATGTAAAATACTTACTCGAAATTCCAACATCGGTAAGCGGAAACCATTAATAAAATTACGATGAAAATCCCATCGAATACCATATTTCAACGATGTTTCATCGGTTGTTTGTACGATTTCTGTTATTCTCCGTTACATAAATTCGTGGCAACTCGAATGGGAAAGGGTTTCACGACGGAATGCCTCGCGTGCGTTTCTGGAAACGTTGTTCACCGTCACGAAAACATTGACTTATGGGATGTAAATTACGCAATGGACCAGTAGGAGGTTGAGAGTATCGCGTTTCAGCTTGTCGGCAGGTAATCGTTTTTAGTATGCCGTGATCAACCGTGTCTCCCTCGTGAAGATGTCGAAATAAGAATCGAGATGACGGATGGGTGTGAGATTTTTTTATTTTTACTTTTTTTTTTTTTTTTAATACGAAACGTGCACCCAATCGACCCAATCTAATTATATCTACCTGAGCATTTCAGTTCGATGATCGTTTAAATTAAATTAGATTTAGTTCCGTAGTGGTAAGTAAGTCGCCTAGACTGTGATGATGATTGTCAGGTAATTTAGAAAAACTGACAACTGTATTTCAGAGTGAGAAATCATAAAACTAGTCTCCTGGTGTTTATTCCGTTTCTAGATTGACACACAACTTGCTTGATATTTATCATATAACATAAAATATGCACATGTATGCTGTCCTTAAAAAATTTTTTTTTTTTAATGATTAAATACTAGAGATTTTAACAGTAATTGCAAAAGTCTGTGGTTGCTTATGAGGTGCTCCTAATAGTTTTGAGACTATTTCTAAATGCTTGTTCTGCAAATCTGCGTAGTCACTTGCGAAACTCGACACAAAATGAAGTTAAGACTACTTTCGAAACGTTCAAGATAAAGATAGGTTGTAGAAACATTTATTTTAAATTTGTAATTGTTTTTAAGTAGAAGATCTGAATACGTTTATTGCAAAATTTGAGAAAGGATAAAGCTGGAAATTATTTTTGAAATATTTGCTTGAAATGTTGGTTTTTTATATTTATTATATTATTTAATGTAAAATTTTGTCTTTTTATACTTATTACATGAAATGAATATTCTATATTTTTTTTAAAATAAAAGAAAACATTTCTAGATAAATAATATACATATATATATATAATTCTAAATTTTTATGTATCTTATAAAAGTTGTGTTATCAACAATAATTTTATGTTATATTGAAACATTATTAGTATATAGATTATATAATAGATTATATGTAGACCAATTTTTTTATTAATAATAAATGAAATATCAATGTATTATTTTATTACTATTCTTTTTTAAAGATAATCTAGTAATAAAATAAAATAAAAAATTTTGAAAATTATAAAATAATTAGATAATTTTAATGTTTGATTATCTCATTGTAAAAAATAATTTTAAGTGAAATTTTATGCAAAATATGAAAAAAATGATGAAAATTTGGAAATTGAATAGATTTTTTTATGCATAATCCATTATATTATAATAAAAATTTTCATTAAAATTAAATTTTTCAAGATTGAAGAATTTCCTTGTATGACAACATATATAGCCTTTATATAGGATTCGTAATTCATGATATAAATATTCTAATAGAATAATAATAATATATATTAATAAATTATAAATATATACATTTTTACATAAATAAATAATATTTATTCAATCAATCAATTCGGGTAATAAAATTTTCTTTCATAAAACTTTCCCAGAAAACTTCTTTGTTCGCAATAAATCATGCAATAAAATTACGTAAATCCGTGAATTTCCAGTTGCAATAAAAAAGAAGGAATAAGACGAGACTGTCGTCCAGAGCATAGAATAAAAAAGAAGAAGAAGGAGAAAGATCGTGACGTCGCGTCGTTAATTTTCTTACCGCCTTCGTCGCATGCAGGGCGAAGTGTAACGTATATACCACCGGAATCGAAGTAGCACGACGACCACGACGACAACCAGGAGAGCTTAAAATGCTAATGAACGGGTCGGCTCGCTCGACCACGCCGCTGATTCCTCGTCGACACGCTCGTTCCATACTTTCACACGTTCGAATTTATCGAGATTTAATTCGTCGTACGATCAGGTGGGCCCACTACTGCCGATCGTCGTTTCTGGATCTCTCAATGTCGCTGTCACGCTAAATGGTACACGATGAATCCACTCGAGGCCGGCAATATCTCGATGGTGATAACGTTTCGGGTTAAATTGATTTCGTATCGAGAATCAGAAATTCGTTGCGAATTTTTGGAATGGCAAATGCCACGTTTGATCGTTGTTGATTTTGTTATTCATTCTGAAAATTTACGTAAATTTAGATGATGGATTGAATTTAATAAAAAAATTGTTTGTAAGATGAATAATTTTGTAATTTTGTAAAGCAAAGAATCTTTTTTAATGAGAAGATATAGATATTACGTGATATTTAATGTGTTTAATGTTGTTAATAATTATCTCAAATCTTTGAAACTTTTGAGAATCTAATTCTACTAAATCATAGTTATTTTTTTTATTAAAGAAACATGTTATTTGTTCTTTTTTTCTGTGAATGTGCGGGAGTATACATAAATTATAGTTTATTAATGATTATGAAACTTGGGATTAATTTTAATGTAGAGTCACAGTTGCCTAATGAAATTCATGTAAAAGACATTATAATAACGCTTCGATGGATAAATTATAGAGAAACGAATTTAATATATGCAGAATTTATGCAATATTTTTACATGTATTTAAATAAATAACTATTTGAATTTTATTAATTAGAATTTAAGGAATTAATGAAATAAAATTGTGACTCTCTATTTCTATGTTTACATTATTACTTTTTATTAATTTTTCTAATCTGTCAATAATAAATTTCATAAATTAACCTTATTCTTAGTATCATTAAAATTTATGTTATTATATAACTGCAACAATAATTTTTTCTAAGATGTGATACAAGAATTTATTATTAATAACACTTATGCTCTACCAATTGAACTGCTAAGTATATCATATCGTTAATTTTAAAATTCTTTATTTTCTTCAATTATTAAAAATATATATAAACGCTTATCGAGATTATTTCAATTTTAATTTTTAATTTGACACTATTGTTTCATTTCATTTCTTGTTTTAAAATAATAAATCCTCGTGTCATAAATAAATCTCTCATACGAAATCTCGTTATACTTACATAGGAAAATTCAAGTATCAAGCTTTTTAAAAAAAATCTTATCGACAATAATACAAAAATCATAAAAAGAGAGTGAAATCTACAGAATAGTCAAAATAATGATAATTCAGCCGTTTACTAATATTAATTTGCATTATTATACTTCGCATTCTTCTTAATTCTTCCCAAAAAAATTCAACATCAATAGAAGAATACATTAAAAAAGAAAGAGATCTACTTGATTATAAATCGAAATTATTATCTCAATCACCATTTACTAATATTATTTGCACCATTATATTCCACTTCACAACAATCCTCTCGTACATTTAAAAAACTTAACCTTTAAAAGAGAAAACAATTGCATTAAGATAAAAAGTAAAAATGTGAAATTTGCAGGGTGGTCGGGGCAATGGTGATCGGAGCTGCCGTCTGCGGCCGTATACCCGGCCTGGCGAAGAGTCAACGAGAGCAGTGCAGAAAAGCGCCGCACGCGATGCCCGCGGTTGGCGAGGGCGCGGAACTGGGACTTCGCGAGTGCCGACATCAGTTCAGACATCACCGTTGGAACTGTTCCCACGTGGCGAACGATCAGGTCTTCGGCCACGTGGTCGTAGTAGGTAAGGATTGTCCTGTCACCGCGGCCTGCCCGCTATTTATTATACCGTGAAGGGCCGCCCGCGTTCAACGCGCTCTAAAAGGCCGTGCAACCGGTAATGGATGCGAATATCTTCGGTATTTCGAGCATGGTGCCGCCTTGGATGTGTGTTGAATACAGGGTGAACTACTGGCTTTAATCGTCTTGATTATTTCGTTTGCAAAAATTTCGTACGCTACGAAACCAGATATCGCGTCTGTGTTTACGGAACGCGTATTTGTTTTAGTTGAATTGGCGATCATTCTTAGGTGAAAAAATGCGTAAATATATAATTTGATTTTTAACTTTCGTATAAAGTACAACAAAAGTTAGTAAACAAATTTTCTAAAATTATCGTTTGTGGGTAAATTTGTAAATTTTGTCTAAGATCTTTTGCCGAGCTATAAATATTTTGTTAAACTTAGGACTTAGGGTATTTTATACATGAGAATTGTTTTATTGTTACACGATATGTCATATGTTTTTATATTAGTATTTTAATTTTTATCAGAAATATGAACAGATACAATTTACAAAATAATTTATATACGGTTGCATGAATTTTGCACGATATAAAATCTTATTTCTATTCATTGTAATTTTAAAATTTCAGAGAAAGAAGATTACTACATATTATGAGTCTCTTTATATCATATCAACTTTTTAAAGTTTTGTAAACGAAGTTTTTTCATAAATCCAAAAATAACAGAATAAATTACTTATGATTTAAAAAAAAATCACTATTTCACCCTATATCATATATTTATTTTGTATCGAGGATCAAGTAATTTAATGCAAATAATTTTTTTTATAGATGAACAAAGTTTTTTGTAAATATATATCTATGATATTTCTTATAATTCTTTTTTTTAATATTAAAATATCTCATTTTTAATTATTGAACAATTTATTATCATATATTATTTACATTTAATAATAATGCAATTAATAATTATATTATATCATACATTTTATATCTAATCTACATCATCACACATCGTTATAATTCTTATTTATCAATTGATTTCTATCAAAAAAGTTCTAATGAAAACGATATTTCGTGTTATATTCTAACACTTTTAGATCAGATTACAAATTACAAGTTAGATTTCTGATTCTTAATCAAATAATTCCTTTTATCAGATTCATCTGCATACGTATTAGAGAAGTTTCCATGAAAATTCAAAGAATCAATTTAGTGCCATTAACCGAAAAAGCCAGCTTTTCTTCGATTATCGGCGTTTAATCGGATCGTTTACGTGCACGTATATGGATTTGTTACAAAACTAAAGGAGATAAATGAGCCTGATGTCAGACCCGTGTTTCATTAGTCGGTCATCTCTCTACCTCATACTAATGGTCTTTTCATTAAGGATTTCCAATCTTTTATCGTGTCGTCTATTAATTTATATTCTATATCTGTGAAACCGCTTGTCTGGTAGTTAATCATTTGATATTGAAATCGTATTAATAAATCTTTGGAAGTTGAACGTTTCGAAGAAAAAATTATTGGAGTTCGATGTAGGTTTCGCATAGTTGTACGTTTCAATCCAGAAAAGAATTTTTAGGATTTAGATTCTACTGTTGCTCGAGTAGGATAAAAAAGGACGACAATTTGGAATATTTTTAAATATGTTGGGGTTAATTTTGAAATACATTCCTCGTTAGATAAATATCGATTGAAAGGATTTATTATCTTACCAATTTATTTTAATATTAGTTTCTATCTACTTCTCGTTCTTTATAATTTCTTATTTATTATATCGTTTTATTTTTATTTTATTTTTATTTCACTATGTCTATTATTTTATTCTAGTTTTCTTATTTATCTATTTATTAATTTTTTTACAAAAATACAAAAAATTTAAAAGATTCGTTATAATTTAAAAAAAGAAGGTTTCGCATCATTTATTTCGAATTTATATATATATGTAGTTAATTACAAACAACATATACGTTAAGAAAGTTTAATTAATAAATTATGCTATTAAAAGAATAATTCTATTTTTTATGAAACATTACATAACAAATCATCCCTTAAAATCAATATTTTCTTTTCTTAAATATAACTTCACAACTTCATAATATTCAAAAAGAAAAAAAGCAAAATTTTGAAATATAGATTATTCAGGATTTAACCCATCAGGATTAATCTACCATCCTATTATAAAAAATATTTTCAAGAATTGTATACAAAGCATAAAAATTATTAAAAAAGATAATTTTTATATGGAATATAATGTTATACAATTTATATATATAATCCATTACGATTTATATACGCATAAATTTTCATTTAAATCAAATTTTTCAAGATACGTGAATTATCTTGTAATTGAAAGTGATTATATATGTATCCACTTTCAAGATCCAATATCTTATCAATCTTTCCCCTCGTTATTATTCTAATTTCTCCATCAAATTTCAATATTATTCCATATTATTCATTGGCTAGAATAACTAACTAGCTAGAACTTGACCAATAATTTCATACCTTTCATTGACCAGTACAAATTCTAACTAAAACGTAACAAATAACATCACGATGAAATAAGTTTATTTTCTGTTAAATCGATGTTTCCCCGTTCTTTACGATGTGAAATTTACTTCGAATCCCGCTGCGCTTCTTGTATAAGAATGATAAATTACAATACCGTACATCCTGCGGTGTAAACTCGAAATTCCCTTTATCACGAACGCATCGTAATATGTACTTTTCTGCCTCGAGCATAATTGTAATTTGTTTCCACCTTTTCAGAAAACCGAATGACTCGACACGTTTCCCATTCCTGTTGCGGCATATAATGACTTGAAGTGACGTAGCATGAGAAAGAAAGAAGTTTTCATTTTTTCTCATCTAACCTTTCTATTCTCTTCATATAATATTTATTATGAATAATATTAAAAATAAATATGACATAAATAATATGTTGATAAAATGAATACATTTATTCTTAGGTATTTGTGTTAAAAATTAATAAATTGTGCGAATTATGTACAGAAAGAATGATTTGAGAATAATTTTGAAGATTTTAATTTATTTCTTCTTTACATCAATTGCATAAATATATATATTTTTCTTTTTATTTGAATTTTAACTTGAGGCTAAGAATCAATTATTTTTTTCTTTCGTTAATTTTTATTGAAAAAATTAATTCGAGATATTGATTTGATATTTGTTCGTTCTTCAGAAATTAATGACTAACGAATATAATATTATAAAGATTATAATTTATTATATAAAGATTCATTAAAAAAATTAATATAAGAATATTGTCAGATATTTTCTTGTAAACTTTATATATTATATTATATTTAATCATTAAAAATAACAAATAAATAAAAACAAAAGAAATTTCAATTTTATGATATCAAATTTCTTCAATGATATGAAATTATAAACTTTACACAATTTATATTTTAATGTGAATTGAGGAAAATAAATTTTCGAAATAGAAAAAAGAAAAAAATATTTTTATTTCTTCAAGTAATATAGAATTTTGCAAATAAACTTTTCTTTGAAATAATAATTACATACAGAAATACGAAAAAAAGTTAAAAATAATTTATATTTAAAAATATTTCTAAAAATATTCAAAAATAAGTATTCAATATTTGAAATTAGTTTTTTTATTTATTTGAAAATATAATTGAATTACTTTTGCAATCTTTATATTTATTGATTTACACACATCGCGGTATCAGTTTTTCTTTTGCCACTTTGAAAAATTATCGTCCAATTTGCGATAGCAATTTTCGCGTCGCATTTTAAACTTCTTTGTATCTTCACTTTAAAAAATTTTTTTTTCATTAATCTAAAAACTTGAAAATTACAAAAAACTATATAAACTATGCTGTTATGACGTTTTGATTTGAATTTTTTTCACCGAAAAAATAAATCTCAATCCAAATTTCCAATTATTTTCAATGAAAGTATGAAAGTGACATATTTTACAATTGAGAACAAATCGAAGATATGTATCTTTAATACACAAAATTCTAATATCTTTAATGTACAAAAATTCTAAACAAATGCCTAGAATTTATTTTTTGATTCATGCTGGTAATATTTCAATTATATTTTTTAATATCAACACATAATAATATTTTAAATTTTAAATAAATATTTTTTAATTTTAATATAATTGCAATACAACATCTCATTATTTGCTTAATAATTTTTTTAAGTGAAAGCATAAAAGTGATGATATGATATATTTTTTTAATTTTTAAAAAATCATATGATTTTTTAATTATCACATTACATTACAAAAAATACTAAATTATTTATATCGACAAATCAATTTAAAAAAAAGTATTTTAACCTGAAGTTTATAAAATTTATATATTTAAGTACGAAGAGACGAGTATTACTTTGTTCCTTGCTCTTTATACAATAAGTTTTATAAAATTCAAATTAAAATATTTCTTGAATTATTTGCATAAATATCTTGATACATTTTTTTTACAGTAACAAGTTCCATCAATTCAGCATTAAAAATCGTATAATTCCATTTAAGAAAATATATCTTGATATATTCTCATTTATAAAAAAATTAAATTATTATACATTACCACCAAATTAATTTTTATTTTTTTTTTTTTTGTAATTATCTTTTTATGCAATGAATAGTTTACTAATAATTTGTATTTATAAAACTTGAAACTCGAATCTCTGTATATAATATATTCTTACAAGTCACAGTATGGAACGTCATGACTAACATAAACACGCGCCACAGGAAATGAAAACATCGAGTGTCATTGATATCCATTTAATATCGATTTAACAGAGTCATGTTCCGGACACGGAGCAGAACGGACGTGTTGCTTTCTACTCCTTGCAAGAACATTGTATTGTTCAGTGAATTAATTAGTTTTGTGTAAAAAACAATTATAAATTATTTAATTACTATAATTAGTGTGAAAATTGTAAATAAAGACACATTACGGGAAAACAAGTGCATGTTTTTTCGATATTTA